CCTCCTGCCCTTTTCCTCATTGTCTCCACCTGGTCCCCTGGCATTTTTCTCTCCTCCATGCTTCCCCTTTCTTCTCCTGACCTGCCCCCTCCCCTCAGCACAAGCTCCTTCCTCTCTCACCCTTTCCCCCTATTTTTCTCACACCCCCACCTTCTGCCTTCCAGTTTGTCTGTGATCGGGACCAGCCCCAGTTGCTTCTATGACCCCAGACCATGTGCTGGGCCTGGAGCTGGGCCATGTGGTTTTAAAATGTAAAGACTTGGGCTGTGACATCACGGGCCGCCGGGTGTCTCCCCTCAACTTTTCAGCGTCTCCCCCTCAGCTGTTGCGCAGCGGCATGTGCTCCCTCCAGTAGTCTCGCTCACCCTCTAGGGTGTGTGCACCCTACTTTGGAGATCACTGTTTCAAAAATGCTGGCGCGGGCACACAAAAATGCCCCAGTAGTCGCGATGGCTCCCACGGGCACTGTGTTGGGAACCCCTGACATAGATGGATTGATGCAGTCCCTCCCCCAAGCTTTCTGATTCAGAACTCCAAGCTAAACTTCCACTGCTAGCCACAAAATCTGTGTGTTAGTGGTGAAATCCAAAAGTCCAATCTCTAGAAATGGAAGACTAAAGTGTATTTCTTAGGGATGTAAAATCCCGCGATGGCTCCCACGGGCACTGTGTTGGGAACCCCTGACATAGATGGATTGATGCAGTCCCTCCCCCAAGCTTTCTGATTCAGAACTCCAAGCTAAACTTCCACTGCTAGCCACAAAATCTGTGTGTTAGTGGTGAAATCCAAAAGTCCAATCTCTAGAAATGGAAGACTAAAGTGTATTTCTTAGGGATGTAAAATCCCATTTAAATGGTTAACCAATTAAAAGGGGTTGAGGGAAGCTGCTCCAGGCCAGGGGGGCTTCCCCCTCCGAGTGCAGGCATGTCAGCTGAGTCTGCCATGGACAGGAAGCTGCTCTAGTCCCTCCAACAGTTAACCTTTCACAGCCCTAATATCTCCATACGTGTTTTGCCTATCATCCCTATGTCTTGTCTCGATCGTGGGTCTGAGCATTGCATTGAGGCCACCACTTACAAGAAACCTCATATTGGAGGAAAAGGAACAGGTACTTCCAAGAAATGCACCTCACTCTCAAGGGGAGTTGGGAAAGGTTGTAACTGTGTAATTCTGCCTTGAGTAAACCACCATTTATTTTTCTTGTGCATTGTAACCTGAGACCTGCTACCTTTAACGCTGAATATAGGAGGCTTCCCTTTTTTAGCTCTGAGAAGGACAAAGGCCAATGACTCTACCACTCTAGGTGAGTCTCATCTTGGGTCTCCTTCCAGCATTCAGGGACAGTCCTTAGTCATTTGCTTTCTAGTAAGAGTTTTATACAAGGACAATCTTAGGACAGTCTGTATAAGATGCAAAATAGCATATGGGAAAATATAGACCGCATGCATTGAGAAATGATAGGCTATAATGCATTAGTTAACTCTGCTGACTGCTTCGTTCACTTCTTTCTCCTCGGGGTATGTCTACATTACCAGGTTATTTTGAAATAAGCTTATTCCTCTTCACAAACAGGAGTCTCTTCGAAATAAGAGGCTTGGTAGTATGGATGCTCGCCTTGCTATTTTGAAATAAGGAGTTATTTTGAAATCTCCAATGCCAGACATGCCCTTAGTTCCACAAATGTGGGATTTTGCTAATGTAATTGACTTTCCTGGTCTGATAATCTAGTCTCTGCAGAATCTGTCTCGACTCCATTGTCAACTGCTGCTAGCCTGGTTAGCCCATCATTATGTATTGGGAGCCTGGAAGAAGAATCTACCTTCCCCTCTTTTGCCCAGGTAAATCCTCCTTTCTCTAAAATAGCATATGCAACAGAACCCCCCAACTGACTGTCTTGATGTTTTCTCCCTGGCCTGAAGTTTAAAACCTCAAAGCAAGGCCTACTGGCTGCTAAAATGGGAGGATCTTACCTCTCCGAGTTTATTGATGTTGGCAAAAGACCCGTAATACTAAAACAGTCCTTGAAGGTTGTGTTATACAAACTGCATCATTTCCGTACAACTTCCTTAGGGTATGGAAGGGGATGCTAGCAGATAGGTCTTGGTAAGCTTTTTTATGCTTTTTTTCTCATGCTTTTTCCTCTGCTCTTTTCTCACCATACTTGATAGATGTTGAGGGTTGGAAAAGCAAAGCCAGAAAAGTGGCCCAAAGCTGCCTCAGACACAAGAGGTAAGGAAATCCTCCTTTTGAAAGCCTATTTCCAGTGATTAAATTTGGACTGAATTTGGCAAGCCCCTATTCTGGCCAATTTCATGGCCAGAGGATTTTAAAACTTGTCAATATCAGATATTTCCATCTGAAATGTCAGTGTTCTAACTATAGAGGTCCTGTCCTAAAATGGGATTTAGGAGTGTGGAGTTACAAAATTGTAGTAGAGGGGTCCCCAAGATAACTATTCTCACTTCTGTGCTGCCTTCAGAGCTGAGCTCTGAAGGCAGCACCCTTCTAGCAGTTAGAGGTAGTTCTGGGAGGTGGAGGTGGGTAGAATCTCCCCCATACTGTTGGGAGAACCCCTGCAGGAGTTCATTCCATGCCAGAGACAGATTAAGGTAGGTGCCCCTCGTCAACTTGAGATTCCCCCCCAGGAAAAATGGTTGTACCAGCCTTGGACCTCAGAGGTTTCTTCCTACTAAACAGCTATAGGGGAAGAAGCCTCAAGCCTGGACTGGAGTGGCTGGGTGTAGGATGCCCCCAGGGGAGGAGAGCCAGAGCCCAGGCTATTACTGCTGAGGGAGTCCCCTGCCCAGAAGAAGCTGCTGCAGGACAAAGCCCCAACCTTGGCACCTAGATCTGGAGCTGTGGCAGGAGCCCAGCTTCCAGGCTGTTGCAGTATACAAATGAGGGAGTATTGCCCTTGTTTCCTGTACTGCCTCTGGAGGTGGGTCTAATGAGGGGGAACAACTCCTGTCCTTCCCCAGAACAGCATCTAGGAGCCGCAGGGGAGATCAGATTTCACAGGGACGTGCTGATTTCACATTCTGACATTTTTCACTGCCATTAAATTGGTAGGGCTCTAACCTGCATAATTTCAGGTGTAATCGCTACTGAATAAAAGCACTCTTGTACAACCTCGGCAATACAACTCTTCCATCATCTGTAGGGCTTTGCTAAATTCATGGTTTGTTTTGACCAACTAATGGTCATAGGATTTTTAAAAATGTAAACTTCATGATTTAGTTACAGAAATCTGAAATTTCTTGGTGTAATTGTAGGAGTCCTGACACACAAGGAGGCATGAGTGGTGTTGCAAGGTTATTGTATGGGGGTTATGATATTGCTTCCCTTCTGCATTACTGCTGGCAGTGCTGCTGCCTTCAGTGGGCAGCTGGAGGGAAGCAGCTACTAGCTGGATTGCCAGCTCTGGAGGCAGAGCTGGTACCAGCAGCAGTGCGGAAGTGAGAATGGCAATACTGTGACACCCCTCCTCTGCAATGCCCTTTGAGTTAGGACCCCCCAATTTGCTATCCTCTACTACACAGACTTCACAAGGGAAAGGTGCACAAGATCAGATGGCATGATCTTCACATACTTTTTGTGGCTGTGAATTTGGTAGGTAAGGCCTTAATTTTTTGGCCTTTCTAGAAATCTTCTTCCTTCCAGATCAGAATACCCTGGCACCTCCTGCTCCAGCAGATAGTGATGGAGAGAGTGACAACTCTGACCGTATACCTGTGCCCAGCTTCCAGAACTCCTTTAGCCAAGCTATTGAGGCAGCCTTCCTAAAGTTGGACAAGCCGTCCACAGCGGACTCCCTTTCTGGTAAGAGCAGAGCAAACTTTTCAGGTGACCAATTACCATTTGCTGTTCCTTGATAGAAGGAATCCTTCCTCCCAGTGTACAGGAACCATAAAAGCCCCATTTGTAGCTGGGCAAGTTTCTCCCAGTGCTGGCACTGCATAAGTTATATGGTGTCCCCACCCAAGTCTTTGCATAGCAGTGTAGTGGTATGCTGGGGATAGAATTGTAACAACACTAGAACCATTCTGAGCAGTGCCAAGCTGCAGAGTTGCTCAGAGGCAAACTGAAGGAGCTACTCTTAAGTTACAGTGGAAGTTACACCTGCCTTAACAGGCCCAGAATCACATAAGCATTGTGATGGCTTAAAACCACATTCTCTTACTCCTGGACTGCACCTGAGTTGGTCCTGAGAGGCACAGCATACAATTGTATCTTCAGCATTCACCATGCACCATCTTCTTGCTGCTCACTGTCAGGGTGGGCAATTTTTGATGGGGTACACTCAGAGCTGGCCCAAGGTATGGGCCAACCAGGCTATTGCCTGGGGTGCCCCATTGTAAGGGGCACCGTGCAGGGCTGCTGGGCTATTGCCGGGGGTGGGGCCTTGCATGCGCTGGGGTCTTGGGATGCACGAATGGCTCAGGCAGGCCCTGGGGGCACTCCAAGAATTTGGTAAGGGGTCAAGAGCTGCACTCTTCCTTTATTGATGGAGGAGGTGCAGGGTTTGGGGTGGAGGTGGCATGCAGAAGGGAACTTGGCATTGGGGATTGGGTGTGGAATCCTTTAAGTTGGGTGAAGTATAGGACTTGGGACAGAGGATTGGGGTGTAGGGGAGTGTGCAGGAGAAGATTCTGACCTAGGTCAGAAATGCAGGAGGGGGTACAGGGGTTTGGATTGTGACCTGGGGAAGGTGATAGGGTTACTGGGAATCTGGGTTATATAGGTCAGGGGTACAGGAGGGGGAGCAGAGTGGGTAGGGACAGTGAAGGGATAGGGTGCTTGAGGCAGGCCCTGGCTAGGAGGCACTTACCTATATGGCTCCTGGCTGGCAGCCAAAGTGGTTCCTCAGGCAGGCTCCCTGCCTTCCATGCCCCCACGTGCTCAGAGTGGCTGATTGCAGAGACCATGTACTTCTCTGAGCACGGCTAGTTCTGGGGGCAGGGAGGTACTTTGTGGCTTGCCTGCCCTGCAAACACTGCCCAGGCAGAGAGCATGTTGCCCCAGCAACTGGCCACTCTGAAGAGCAGGGCAGACAGGAAGCCTGCCCGAGGCTCCTGTTGCACCACAGGCCAGATAGGGCAGCTTGGTGGGCTTGGGTCAACCCACAGGCTGTAATTTGCCTGCCTTTGCCCTATGAGCAAGGATTGGTCATCTGTGGTAAGATGGGCTTAGCTCATCCCAAAGTTTTTTGTGGTCTCTGGAACTTCCATGACACATTCTGCAGCCAACTGTAGTTATATAGAAGTTCCCTAACTAATTCATATATTGATGCTGTCATTTAAATGAATATGCATTGAATGATGTACTAGTCTGTTAAATGCTGCCATCCAACTTGCAGTTGCAGTGTGTTGCAAATGCACTTGTTCTTAACCCTTATGAATGGGGTTTCTGTTGCCAAACAATAGAAAACAAGATTCTAAGTACATACATTGGAACTAAATCTTCTCCCAATTTATTCACAATGAAGTGGGAAAAATCACAGGACCTGGGGAGAAATATGGCTTGATCTAAGCCAGTTTTTTTTCTTTTTACAGAGGAAAAGGGAGGCAAGAAAAGAAAGAAGCAGAAACAGAAGCTGCTATTTAGCACCTCAGTTGTCCACACAAAGTGATGCTGCTGTCTAAAAGTTCTGTTTCCTGGTTTTCATTTGCTTTTTGTTTTGCTGCTATAGTTTAAGTATTTAAGCTTGATCAGACTAAATCCATGTTTCTAGGCCTTGAGGGAAGAAGGCCCATCATTTAATTCTAGCACATTTGGATGGTTTATACCAAAATTAAAGTATTAAGAGAAACTGAACCTGGCTACCTTTATCCAAGGTTTCCAGTTTGTGCCAAGTCAGTTCTTTTGGCCCATCAACAGTTTAAATATTTCTATTGCTATCTGTGGCATTGCCAGTTGTTGCAGTGTGGTTTTTCATTCAAAAGGCAGAGAACCTCTACTGTCCCTACCTGTGTATAAGAGAAACAGTACATAGTATCTGGCAATAGGTGCGGTTTGCTGTAAAGCAAATTCTTTTTCTTAGCAAGTGCAGTTCGCCCCCTGCTGGAAAGATGCAATAATGAAGAGATTCCTGATTCTAAATTGTAGAGGAAGGAGGGGTCTTAATCTTCAAAATGATGACACAAATAGCTGATGATACTCACTCCTTCTGGTACCTAAGGATTAGACCAAGGGTGGAAATAAAGTAGATCTTTTTTTATCAACCTCAAATTACAATTCATTCTGAAATGTAGAGTCCAGGATTTATGTCAAAGTAACTTTACATTGGAATGCAAAGTGGTTACATTATTGTGACCACATGGATGTGGTAAGACTGCAATATTTAGCCAGCACAGGTTAAAAAGAATTTCTTTGTCTGCATGATCTGGAATAAACCACCAGCTCTTGATAACTAGACTGGGTGGTTTTTTGAGACCAGCTGCATTTGAATCAAGGGAATAGGTGACATCTTTGATATCTGCAGATTTATTAACCTCACAGTAGCAAACCAGGCTGTCCTATCTTTTGAGGACAGGGGCCTTATTTTGCTTTTTGTAGGGATGTAAGTTGGATTGTTCTAGGCTCATCTTACTATAAACAAATCTTTTTTCTCTCTCTCTCTCTCTCTCTCCCCCTCCCTGCCCCTTCCCCCCCATCACCCACTTTTTTTTGGGAGTGGTCTCATTCTGCATTGCCTGTGGTTTAATTTGAAGCTAATGAGCTAAGTGGTATGGATTTTCATTAAATAAAATGAACTGTAGGTGTAATGTACCAGCAGTGGTGAACAGTTGCAATAAATCATATGCACAACTGGAATTGGTGGTGGGGGAGGTTCTTTCTCTGTACTCTGGCATGCTTGTTAGGGCTCGATTTGAAAAGTGTTTTTTCTGTTAGGCTGAGCAGATGCTGCCTGAAAAGGCTTCCTTTACAGCCAGTTGTAAAGGCAAAGAATGTAGCTGTGCCCCTAAGCTTCTAGCTCTTCCTTACAAAATATTGAGTTTTCTTAAGTTCCTTAACTTATCAGGAATGTCCAAGTCTTGTCTAGGGATGTGAATTGGTTAACTAATCAAATCAACAATTTCAGTTGACTACTTGATTAGTCAATATGAGGGTGAGGGGACTGCTTCAGCTGCAGCTCTGCACTTTAACAGCAGTCCTGGACTAGTGGGACCAAGGGGGGAGGGGGCGGGGGGAGGAGAAGATGAGGCTAAACAATAAAGCAGCAGCTGTATAAAGTGGGGAGGGAAGGCTGAAGTCTCAGCTCCCCAGCCCTGTCCATTTTCCCTCTGCCTTGCAAGCTCCATGGAGTAAGAAACACACTGGTAAAAATCCATCAAGAGAGCCAGACAAGCTCAAGCTCCCTGGGGCTGAGGCAGGTTTACCTCCCCTTGCCTGCCTTTCTCTGCCTCCTTTACTTCCCAATGCCCTTCCCTTCCTGAAGGTGCAAAGAAATGCCAATCGCTGTACTGTTCAACACAGTCACTAATAAACCCGTGTGGGGCAGCAGAGGCAGGAGGAAACAGTTCTGAGAGCAGCCAGATATCATTACCTACTTGAGTCAGGAGCAAAGCAGCATCCTCAGCCTGCAGCACAAAATAAGGACTTCAGCCTGCAGCTGAAAAGTGAGCTAAGGGAAGAATTGGGGAGCTGACATGAAGTGCTTCCTTGGGAACTACCTGGGTGTTAGAGAAGGGGAAGGATGCAGAAAGAGATACCAAGTAAGCAAATGCCCAGGGTGGAGCATGCTGCAGCACCTACCTAGGTACTGGGTCCAAACCTGCAATATGTAGTCCCCTCTGAGCAGTGTGTGATTAGCTGAGGGGGAGCATAGGGCCTGTAACCCTCCTCACTGTGTTACATTAACCCTGTACTTTAATATGCACCCTAGCCCCATTGCCCAACCCTGGGGAATAAGCATTCTGGCAGCAGGAAGCAGCATTGCAGGGATGAGGGAGGCATCCCTAGTCTTGTCTGTCTTGGATATGCTGGAAGAGACTATGCCATGGGTTCCCAAACTGTGGTGTCTGAAGAAATTCCAGAGGGGGTGTGAGGCAACCCAGCCCTACACATACCCCATCAATCCCACCCTGAGTGTTGCTATTTTTTTGGGATGGGGGCATGAGGGTTTCTCAAATCAAAAAGGGGGTGGTGATGCTGAAAAATTTGGGAACCACTGCTCTGTGCAGTGAATCTCACCCCCCCTTTAAGAAAAGGGGAGCTGTTGAACTCTTAAAGGTGTCTGAACTTTTCTCTAGCATGTTATTAGTATGAAGAACTACAGTCAGTTCCTCTTCAGCTCTTCCTTAATATCAGAATGATCTGCCAGACTTTTTCTAGTAACTTAAGAAAAGTTATACTACACCAGACCAAAGGTCTGTCTAGCCCAGTGCCCTGTCATCTTGCCTAGTTGTAACTGATGGACCTGTCCTCCCTTCCCCTCTCAGTCTTGGCCTTCACAGCAGCCTCTCGCAGAGTTCCATGGGTTTACTGTGTGTTGTGTGAAGAAATCCTTTGTTTGTTAAGCTTGATGCTTTAGTTTGTGAGTAAATAATTCTTTATTTACTTTCTCCACACCAGTCATTTTATAGGCTCAAACCTCCCCCCCATTTTCTTTTCCAATTTGCAAGGTCCAATCCTATTAATCACTCATAAGGAAGCATAACAAGGAATAGTGGTACTTTAGACTAATAAATTTATTAAGAAATTAGAACATAAGCCTTTGTGATAATTCACTTTTAGATGTCATCCAACTTGTTTTTGCTGAAAGTGACTTAACACCACTACCTTTCTGAAACCTGTTACAGCTTGACCCCTGATTTTTGTTGCCCTTTTCTTTTCCAGTCCCAGTTTTGTGGAGGTTTTTTTGAGATGGGAATAAAAGGAAACTTGAACGTTTCTCACGGTCATAAAACATCAAATCTATACATTCCTTTGCGCTCCCATTTTACTTAACACCAACTGGTTGTCTCTTCATGTGAGTACAAACTGCTTTGTTTATAAAAGCATTCACCTAAAACATCCCACAACATTCTTGCAAATAAGAGAAACTTAATGAGTTCTGGTCAAGCACCCTCTCAAGCTTGTCTATACCAGCTCTTCCACTTGAGAAACTGAATTAGTTTGAGGCAATTTGAATAAAAATATGCATAGAACTTTCCTTTAACAATGCCTCCAATCCTCCCTTGACAGCTATGATTATTTTAACCTGGATGTGCTATGCGCTTTAGCCCTGGGTGTTTTGCAGCCTAAACTTTATGAAGGTTGAATTTCCATAAATAGTGGAGAGCAAAACACCCACTCTCAGGATGATTCATTCTCAAAGCAGCAATGGTGCATCTTTCCTTCAGTACAATTTACTCAGCAGTTTGAATACATTACCAACACATTTTAATCAATACCCAGACGTAAGTATTCTCTTGATGGTAGCAGGGCAGCTACTCAAGACATCTAACTGTCAAACAGGTTTATCCACAGACTTCAGAAGCAGGGCACTATAACAATCCTCAAAGAAATAACCTCTATGGGATACTAACTCAGTTTCACCTCAGCTACTGTAAAAAAGTAATCCTGATCTAATACCGGAATGATTCCCAGAGATAGGTATAGTTGGAGGAGGAGCTTAACCTAGAGCAGTCTTTAGGCCTGTTTTAAAAACTAAGCAAGCTCTAACTAATAGAATTTGTGTCCCAGGGGACAACTTGTTGAAAGGTAGCCTTCCATTTCCCCTCTCCTGGCTTGAAGAGATTCAGGCTTTTGCTTAAATAAAAGTGCTGCATTAGCTGAATTTTAAGGCTGCTGCCCAGTGATTTCACCAGAAATCATTTTACCCTTTCCTTTATTTTCACAAGATCAAAATACAGTTAGAGATGCCTTGATTCTCATTTACTTAGCACAGGGCAGGCAGCCCAAGACATCTTTTAACAGGGTAGTTTTCCCAGTGCCTTACAGAAAGCACCACATTAGATTTAAAGTTTATGTTCAGTCTGTCTCTACACAGTCTTCTTCATCTCCACTGTGAAAATGCTCCTCCACTTCTGTAAGGGAACAGCTTAGCAGAGACTTCTGGATGGACTGTCTTTCCTCTGTAACAATGATGGGGAGGCATAGTATGAAAAAAATTTATTCAATAGGTTTCAGAGGGAAGAACAGAGTTACATAGCTACAGTGATAAGACAGCCCAGCTCTACCAAATAACCAGAGGCTGCAACAACACCCAAGTCCCCAAAAGTCCATGTGCAACAAAGTCCTTTTTGAAAGGTAGGAATAGAGCAGCCGCTTACCTTCACTGGTGCAATTATGCAATAGTAGCAGGAGCTGTTTCCTGTTGTACTGAACTAGAAATTTTTGACATGTTCTTATTGTCCCTGTTGAAGAAACAAGGGAACAAAGTCTGTATGATAGAGAACTAAAGCAAATTAAACACTACAGAGCAGAGCAAAAGTACATTTTAATGATACAATGTATTCTCCCTGTTCAACCAGGAAGTAGGAGTGTTATGGATCAAAAAACAAGAACATCACAGACCATAAACTACAGAAACCAGGCTGAACAGCAAGGAAAACTCTTACTTCCCACCGTTTGATATTTGTTAACACTTATTTGCCCAAACTTGCAAACCGCAGCAATACCAGGTGTCGTTTTCCTTCATTTAAGATTTAATCAAAAGTTTCCTGAGGACAGATGGTACCCAAGTTTGATGGGGGTGGCCAGCTCTTTGATGTAAATACTGAATTCATAGGGGTTAGGAAAATAGTCACACATGCAAAGTAGGCGGGCTTTTGTTTTTAAACAGTATAATGAACAGAGTAGTGAACAATTCAGCAGAATGAAAAAAATACCAGAGGTATAGAGGCCTCAGCACAACAAAAAATGTTTTAGCTTTTGGATTATCTATTTCAAGCCATTAAAGGGAAATTTGTATTAGCCTCAGTGAGGCAGAATCTGAGCGCACCTTCTGTCACAACTAGAAACATTAAACAACAGGGCTCTTCACTACTTTCTAATCATTGCAAGAATAGTAAGACACTCAAGATCTCAAAGTTCTGAGATTGAAGTGTCACAAGCTACCAAAAACACTCTTGAAAACCTTACCTCCAACATGTAATGTGTTGAAAAAACAGGAATAGCGCTGGTTCCTGTTCTCTAAGTAAGTGACAAAGGGAAGAGCTGACCAGAGGAGCCTATAAAAGTCCTTTCGGCATCGCAAGAGAACTATGCCTGTGTAGGCATTCAGGTATTTCACTGGGCACAGAAAATAACTGATTAGTACAAATGACATTTAATTGCTTAACATTAGAGTGTAATTCAGAAATGCTGGTTTATTCACAGAACCTCCTCTCTTATACTGCTGAAGTTCCAAGTCGCTTTTAGGGAGGAAGCAAAAGCTCATGTTCTAGTTCCACATTCGTGCAGCCACACCATTAAAAGGAAACAAGCCACTGCAAGGGGGCAAGGCGAGTCCCTTCCTTGCTCTTTCCCCCTTGACCTTTTTTTTTCCCCCCTCAACAAAAAAACCCTGGTGTCCCCCTTAAAAAAAAAGTATTGTTTCATGTTCCTTGGTCTTGAAACGTTTAAGAAACACTGCACTGGAGTAATTGCCTTCATAAATAATAATAAGTATAGCTCAAAGTCTTTTTTGTTCCTCTTCTCCCTTACCCACACCCAACAGAAGGCAAGACTCACCTTTCTGTGGTGAGGAAGGTGCCTGGCTTTTTCTCAGTGTCTGATGCCTTGTGCAGTCAGAGCTGGTCTGCAGAGTCTGGCGAGCGTCTAGTGAAACCAGACCTCACTGTATCGTAGTGCTCATGCAAATGAGCTTGCGGGAATCTCAGGTTCTTGTGGCTGAATATGAATCCTCGTAGGGCGAGAGAGAGATTGCAACAAAAGTCGACTGATCATGAATGTAATAGCACTGATGCTACAGGCTCGGATTTCTACGAGACTTTGAACTATGTGAAATAGCGATAGAAATGTAGCCGTGTTAGTCTGGGGTAGCTGAAGCAAAATGCAGGACAATGTAGCACTTTAACAAGATGGTTTATTAGATGATGAGCTTTCGTGGGCCAGACCCACTTCCTCAGATCAGATCTGAGGAAGTGGGTCTGGCCCACGAAAGCTCATCATCTAATAAACCATCTTGGTAGTCTGTAAAGTGCTACATTGTCCTGCATTTTGCTTCAGCTACCCCAGACTAACACGGCTCCATTTCTATCACTTTCCTCTCAGGATTGTGTAGCGTGCTATGGGCCAGCGTCTGTGCTACACCCCAGAGGTGGCTGTGTTTGTGTGGCTGCTGTAGTTGTGAAGCATGGTTGTTGGACAGTGGTGGCCCTTAGCAGTGCCAGTTTGATATCAGTGTTAGGAGGCAGCCAGAGGTCTCCTGAGTCCTCTTCTGGGCACTGCCACCAATTTGCTAATCTCCTTTGGTGTGTCCCTTTGCCTCAATTTCCCCAGCTGTGAAAAGAAGATAATATGGATGCACTGAGAGTGGCAGATGTGCTGCATGACGATTATTCACTGGGTTTCAGCAGGCCTTGTTTTTCCATCAAGGACAGAGACAAGGGTGTGAGGGGTAACCCTATGGAAACAAAAACCAAACAAACCCCAAAGTGCTAGAATTTTGGCCAAAAAATTCCAAAGGATGATTTCATCTGTTTTGCATGTTTCGCTGCAAACCTAAATGCTGCAATTAGGAAAATGGCTCCCGTAAGGCAGCAACTGCGTGGGACGTATTGTCGACACCGTCCCCCCAAACGCTCCTGACCACAGTAAATTCCCAGGATTTCAGGGTATTAACCACACTTGGCTTGGCACCCAGCTAATACGCAACAAACCTTTTACTGCCACTGCTAACCAACCGCGGAATTCCTGAGGATGGCTGTCCAATTAAAACTGTGTTCAGGGCTCAAAAGCGGGGCTGATACGGAAACGCACAGGGCTGTCAAAGCCCTGCCGCTCCCTGCTCCTCTCCGCCAGTTTCAGCTCTTGGAATAACAAAACTCCACTCTTGCCTAAAGCCCTTTGGCAGGGGAGCACTTGAATCAATTAAGCGTTGCAGCACCCATGGGAGGCAGGGAAGGACTACTACTCTTCCTGGGTACATGAGGCAGTGAGTGAGTGAGGAGTAGAGCTCAGGACAGAACCCAAGAGGCCCCTCTGTTCTTATCTTCCCCTGGCCCCCTCCCCGAGCTCCTCTGTCCTCATCTGCCCCTGCCACATTTCCATGACCCCTTGTGGCATAGTGGGGAGGATGTTGGCTCTGTATCCCGGGGTCCCCCTGTGTGGTGAGGCCCTCTGTTCTTATCTTCCCCTGGCCCCCTCCCCGAGCTCCTCTGTCCTCATCTGCCCCTGCCACATTTCCATGACCCCTTGTGGCATAGTGGGGAGGATGTTGGCTCTGTATCCCGGGGTCCCCCTGTGTGGTGATGTGTGATTCCCACTGACTCCCCCACATTTTGTGATGTAGTGTCAGTACCTTGCTGGTTGCTATGTTTGGGCTGTGGGCTGTGAGCTGTGGGGGACCCCCACTGGCAGCTGCCTGTAAGCATGGCCCAGCAGGAGGTGCCTTACCCCCCTAGGGCAGTGGCTAAAAAAAGT